GTTTGTACCTTACTGTGCCTCTGCCTTCCCTCCTGTCTCCCTGAGCTACTTCCAAGCCCACCTCCCATCAATCCTGCCTCTCCTCCTGATTGCTACCTCTCTCATCTCTCTGTGGACTTTCTGCCAGTCAAGGCGACACAGCTGGGCACTATCAGAGCTGGGCCTTGGGTCCTTGGCATGTCTGCAGCTGACCCCTGGGGTAGGACAGCTGTCAGCAGGGGTTACCGAGTGGGAGGGGTTCAGCTGTTAAGGACTTGTTGTTTTCTGCAGAAGAGAAGGGAAGCTACAGACTGATGAGCATTTTACTGTACATGCTGGGGTGAGGCACTGGCAGCGCTGCTGCTGACACCTGAAACCTAAAAAGGTTTTAGGTTTCACCTAAAAAGCACAGGAAAGACGGGACAATCAGCTCCTGTTTACAGTCGACTTCCTGAAACATTCTCATTTGGAAAACAGGTTGCCAGCTGAACAGAGAACAGGTGGCTCTCAGAATCTGAAGTGCTGTGCAGCACACAGCATTAGTCAATTAACAACAGCCAGGGTCAGTATTGAATATGCCTAAGAAAACATTGTGTTTTATCTCTCTCCTTCTCCCTGCCCCCCCATTTTTGCCTCTTGGTTTAAATGACTTTCAAGACCACAAGAGCTTTTCTGCCAGCCATGATGAACAACAACCACGGTCATATTGTCACGGTGGCTTCGGCAGCAGGTCATTTTGTGACTTCTTTCATGGTGGCTTATTGGTAAGTGATTTTAAAATCAGCTCTCTTCAGTTACTTTTGTTTTGTTTTTAATGGCGGCTTCGCCATCTGCAAGCATTAATCGTCCCACTGAATACGGTACATCCAAAGGACTGTACCAAGGTGGAAAAAGGCACAAGAGCCAGCACTTAAGGATGCCTGGAGGTTCCCACCAATTTGCTTCTTAGCTCAGACTGAATCAGGAGCAATGCTTGTATGAAGAAACAGTCATGTGACCCGTCAACTAATGAAAGCTTCTCCTTTTTTCTCTCCCTCACCGATCCAGACCTTTGTTTAGCAAAAAAGGTACCCTCTTCCCTTCGCCTTCTTAGAAAGTAGCGCTTCTGTGAGTTGCTGTAGTGTTGTCAAATAAACCCCTAATGAGTAGCTTTTGATCATTCTACCATTGTGGTAGTGACAAGCGTATAGAAATACCTCTGTTGTCATGAGATAAAATTGCTTTTCTACTTGACACATGTCTAGAGAATCACTGTGGGTGGACAGAATAACCGTTAGATTGCATATTGCCGTTCTGCGTCAGATCTAGCCCGCTATAATAGCAGCTCCAGGTAGAGCAATCTTCCCCTGGGAACACTGCTTCTTAGAGAGTCACTGATCGTTGTCAATGTGAGAACTCCCGAGCCAGGGACTTTACTGGGATTGCACTGCCCCAGTCAATAGCAGTCAATAAACGGGTTCTCTGGTTCGACTTTCTCTGGAGTTGATTTATTCTCCTGGCCTGCTCCAATTTCTGTGGCAGTATGTTTCTCAAGTTTTGCATGCATAATGCTCCCCTATTTCAAAACTCACACGCAAATGTCACAAGACACTCCTGTGTGGCATGAGGAACAGTAGAGGGTTGTTCTCCATTTCTTCCCTGCTCACCCTTCTTAATTTTACAGACTGAAGCTGCGTTCCTTCTAAGAATCTTCTCACATGGGAAAAATAGGCAGTCTATCAATTGATGCGCATTAGTTATCATTTTCTAGGAACTCCTGACATTCGTCTGTTTGCAACTAAGGCGACTTTTTCTGAAAGACACCCTCTCTGCATTCCACAATTACTCCCCCAAGCAGCAATATCTAATCCAGCGCTACACTCCGGCACAGGGAAAGTTAGAATTACTCCCTGCCCTTTCTTCTCAGGTGGATTACATTTTTTTTGCCTCGTAGTCAGTGCTGTGTGATATTTTTTGCCATTTCCAGGTGTAGAAAGCTAGAAACAGTATTTCTGCCTTCTCATTTGTGCTTTTTCCCCTCCTGCAGTTCAAGCAAGTTTGCTGCGGTTGGATTTCATAAGGCTCTGACAGAGGAGCTGTCTACCCTGGGAAAGGATGGAATAAAAACTACATGTCTTTGTCCGGTTTTTATAAACACTGGGTTTGTCAAAAACCCCAGTACAAGGTAATTATCAAAACTCGGCTTTCCTGTCCTTCCTTCTTTGCATTAAGGCACTACATATTAGCCCCAGCTTTAGGCCTTGTATTCCAACTGACTCTATAAAAACAGTACATACATAGCATTGGCTAAAGAAAATCTGCAGTGTCGTTTAACCCACATAATGCTTGCATTTGAATTACCTGAGTTTGTGCATACGTGAAGCGTCCAACACCAGGTAGTACCACCCCTGTTTTACCACCATAGCTCTTACGTGTATGCTTTCCTGTGTAGGCTTGGAAAGATTTTGGAGATTGAAGAAGTTGTAGAGGCCCTGATGGAAGGAATACTGACCAACCAGAAAATGATTTTTGTTCCATCACATCTAACCATTGCTTTACTTTCTGAAATGTAAGTAGCAAGGGGAAAAAAAAAAAAAGCCGGGGAGGGAGGGAATAACATATCATTGCTAACTACTTGAGTATACAACCCTCAAAATTGTAACATCTGATTCAAGATTAACTTTTATTTTATGAGTAACTGCATTTTGCACTCATGGTAATAAAGGCTATGGTTTGGCAGTGTAGAGAAACCCTGGATTGACAGCTGGACAGCAGCAATTTGCATTCAACCCAGTTTCATTTATTTTCTATTATCCTCAGTGTTTGACATCAGTATACTCAGTTATTTATCAGTCCCGATTTGAGATCAATATGTTTATTGTAATTATATAATATGTAACTGTCTTCAGGAGAGAGTATTGCTTTGTAAACAACCACCAATCTGAAATATTTTAGTATGAGAAGAACACGTAACAAGGTAATGAAATAGCATGAAATGTCTTTCTAATGACAATAGCAGACATCATATACAGAAAGATTTTTCTGAGTCCTCTCATAGGTCCTTGTGATCCACTTTCTGCAGCTAACTATTCTCAGCGGAGACTGCTCTACAGGCTGATAGGGAAGAAGAGGGAGAACAGGAGAACAGTTTTTCTTCTCAGATCACCATTTCCCTTGGGCTTGTGAAAAACACTTTCTGTGAAACAGCGGCCTCAGAGAAGTTTTGGAGAGAGCTGAGGACCTGATGCTTATTAGTATTTGTTTTTTCAGGTCAGCACCATGGCTGAGGTCACAGAGGCTGGGAAAATAGCTTCAAAAGGGCTCTACTGCTTCTCTCTGCCATGTAAAGTGAGATTTGTCCTCTCACATGTCTTTAATGTCCAGTGTAGCTGCTCTGCTGAGGGGGCATTTTTACCAGAGCTTAGGCTCAAAATCTGGAATTCACATTGGAACAACTAAATTAACTTTTACAGTATTTCATTAAACACTTGGTAACATCTTGTTTGCAAAATGGTGTTTTGTTTCGCACCAGATGGTGGGAAAAAGTCTTTTTGCATCTCCAAGAGCTGCATGCAGACAGTGCAAGTCTGCAGAAACACAGACAAGTCAAACCTAATGTTGTCAAAGCCCTTAGGGTAACTTTGCTTTTTTTGTCATAATTTGGGGCAGGGGGACACAAAGAGACACAAAGGGACTGATAAGAGAAAAAAGTCCTAGGAGAGGAAACTGCAGCTGAGTTTGAACATCTCATCCTTCCATAGGCCTGCTGCTTCTCAGAGCAGAAAAACACTCAATATGCACCAACCTCTCTTCAATATTGAACCTTTGAGGATCCTGCAGCAATATTGCAGCCCAAATACTGCCCAGGAGATACCTGTCCTGGAATTGTCATAAAAGGAGACACGTGGGACTGGAGTTAAACTAGACAGAGGGCTATGTATTCTTTGAAATAACACACAGTTTAAATCTTAGTATCAATCCGTGTGTGTGTGTGCTTGCACTCCCAGACCAGTTGTTCCCTTACCTGTTGTGCTGCTTTTTCCCATAATTTAAGTTTCTTATCCCACATTTAATTTCATGTTACTATCTCTTTCAGGTTGTTTCCAGAACGTGCCCTGAATTTTCTGAAAAAGCTGACCAATGCCAAGTTTGATGCAGTCATTGGGCAGAGAAGCACCCAGTGAAAAGCAAAAATTGATTCTCATTTCCCAGTGGCACAAGTGCAAACAGAACATGTGCTGAGCAGAGTTCAGCTGGTTTGATTCAGAGCAGAACTAAGACAGATGCTTCCAGGCCACCATTGCCAAGCAGACCTCAGGGTTTATCCTACACCTGCAGCAGGGACACACCTGCATAACATGGAGTATTAACAAAGCAGAGGTGCAGCTCTAGAAGTCTAAAGGGCTGCTTTGGCTGTACGTCACAGCGTCTCTGTCTCCTAGTGCTGAGGTAGACAGGAATTCCTGCAAAGCCCATTTTTGGGACAGCACAGCTGCCTACTTGAGTGCAAAGGGATTGCCTTGAGAATATGTTAATGCGGACTCATCCCTGAGCAAAGGTATCTTGCAAGAAGCTATTTATAGAGCAGGTGAGTGCCCTGTTTCACCTCAATTTACCTTTTTAAATCTAAAAAAAAATGTGCTGTAATGAGCACTCGCGGTTTCATGTGCTTTTGTAGTACCTGAAATAATACAGCCTTGTTTGTAATGTAATACCTAATTACATCAATTATCAATTATGCACCATCAACACTCCTTATTTCAAATAAATACAGTTCTCTAATCCAAAGGTGTCTCTCAGCAATGCAAGTGGTAACCAGGTCCAAGCAAGAACGGCAGAGCAGGTGCCTCAATGATGAAAGGATCAGCCAGAGTCTGCTGACCACCAGGCCAGGCTGGAGGGATGAGGCAGGCCCCCAGTCACACCGGGAAGCCACATCAGGATCAGCAAGGTACAGGGCCAGGCATGGCACACCAACAGCGCAGCCCATGCAACGGCCAGGGCCAGGGCTTAAATGCAGGTGCCAGGCCAGGGGCAGAGCATGCACGGGGGAAGGCTCCAGATGAGCCTTCTCACCGCTCCTCATCACAAGCTAGTGGCCTGCTCTGACAGGAACCTCCTTGACTGGGAGCTTAAACCCCCAAAGGTCTTTGTCCTGTAGTACCAGAGAACGGCACCTGATGAAACACGGGTCAAAGACCTCTTCAGAGCACAGATCATCTTTCCACCTACTTGTGCAACTCCCGACTGTGCCAGGACACTTGCTGGCTCGCAGCCATCCGAGGGAGGCCTGAACACGCTGCCACCTTCGGCATGGCTGGAAATGGGTGGCTTCCAGGAGAATGCATCCCGCTCACCCGAGCATTTTATGCTGCTCTGTAAAATGAGGTTCTTCAGAAAAGGGAGAGCCCTTGTCATCCAGCTCCTCCTGCTCTTAGGTGTAACAGCTAGAAGTTTGTGCTGCCGACAGTCTAAACGACAGAAAAATGGTTTCCTTTTTGCTCATGTAGCATTCATGTAACAGCACATTCAGGGTGTGCCAAAGCACAAGGTCCCAGCTTGGGAACTTCTCCTTTGAAGTGCAGGATTCCTGTCGCCAAGAAAGGAAAACAAAGAAGGTGTTTGCAAAATTCAGGGCATCAAAAAAAAAAAATGTTAAAAGCCAATTAAAGAATACGTAAGCATGGTTTCCATTTCAAACCAAAGCCAAATTGTATGTTTTGTGGTGGCCCTGCTTTTTTATTGAGCTGCATATTGCCCTCCTGCTATGATGACTCTCCTGTCACATATGTGAGATACCTGAAGCCAGACCACATCTGTTTGGCTTTTTCATTATGTTCACTTCCACCTATTCTTACCTAGTGAGGAGTCAAAGAGTCTAAAAATACAGATGCTTCAAAAGCCCTGTCAGAGGGAGAAGCATACTGTGCAAAATGTTTTTCCTTAACAGTGGAGCCTAAAGGCTAAATCGGTACTTATTGTAGGTAATTTGACAGCTGTCTGTTGCATTACTGGCAAACATTCTTAACTTTGTACCCAGCTTAGCCTCTTCTGCTACACACCTTTCACGTTTCTGCTATTTCATGGCTTGGATCCTTGCTCAAAGCAAGGGTACAGAACGGTCCAATGACTTCAAAGAAAAAGCTCAAAAAGACGCCCGAGACAACATCTTCATGAGTAGGCCCTCTTCTCAGACAGGGGAAGGACTGGCTCCAGTAGGATACATCAGACAAGACATTTGGCCTTTCCTTGCCCGCTGTTCCCACTAGCCCTGAGCATCATTCAAATTCTCATAGCAGCATTAAATTGGAAGACAAAATCCATCTAGGGAATGACAGACAGCACTCTCCTGTAGAGTCTGTTTCTTAGCACATTTACACCTGAGGAAAGGGAGACCATGTTCACTCCTGCTTTGCCAGATCTAGTCCAGTCTCTCAGAGCCCAGAGGAATTACCAGACAACACAACTTGTACGCTATTCCATACGTGGCTATGGTTCCTTTCTGTGTCTCCTATGACTGCAAGTCTTCTGCTTGGCATAAAGAAACAAACACAAAAGCAAGGATTTAAGCCTTCATTTCCTGAACACCAGTGACAGAATTGAACCACCAAACCTTCTGGGTTCCTCAGTTCTCTTCCTGGCCACAAAAAACAACTAAACCTTATCCCAAAGTCTGGTCATTATGGGTGCCTAGCAGGAGCCTATGTGAGCAAGCTTCATACGGCTGCCTACAGCTGAGTCCCAAATTTGAAGAGTAGAACCTCACAGCCCAGCTTAGGACCCCTTATGAGTCAGGTTAGTGACTGTGGCCTCGTGCCCTGCCTCCCTCTGAGGTGTCTCTTGGAATCGGCGCTTCTCTGCCCTCCCTGCCTCCTCCGTCTCAGCCACAGCACCAACGGGAGCCCTGTGCCAAGAAAATGACAGCACCACTGAGCTGTGCAATTAGGGTCTGGCCCAAACACCAATGTGTTAATTAAGAGCAGAATGAAGTTCCAAGAGGAAAGTAGGAAGTGCCAAGCTCTGAATCTCTCTGCTGGAGCTGACCCAGTCTCCCGCAGACAAGATGAGCAATGGTGCAGCCAAACCACCAGGACAAAAGAAAAATCCTTTTCAGCAACTCTAATCTTAACTGGAGACTGATTTTGGTCAGAGGACAAATGTTCATGCAGCCTTCACTCTTCCCAGAGCGGCTCAAAAATATCCTTAAGTAAAATTATGAACATGACCTGGATACACCTAGTTTTCTAACTGAAAAGCAACGGAGTAAGGTCAGCAATCCTTTTAAATAAGACCATGCAGTTACACTATAAGAGCTGGATGGACCAGCTGAAACTAGTTTTCGCACATTTGCTATAAGCATTTCTGTTCTGGTTAAGGTTCTGGATACTTCATTACACACAAACAAGTCCAAGTTTGAGTTGTGCAATTTAGACTCAAATATGGATGACCCAATTCACACAGTCAATACCATTGTCCAAAGGACTTGAGGAAACTAAGCCGCCATTAGTGTATGTAAGATGGAAGGTCTGGGTATAGATACCTAACTAATTAAAAGACCGAGTAAGAGGGAACAGCCAGCCAAGAGCTCACATGTGGAGTCCTGCAAGTTGAGAGGCTCTGTTAAGTGACCTGGAAGAAGAAGGTAGGTGACAGTCTGCTGACAACGCACAGGTATGCAAAGGAAGGAAGGACAGACAGACTTAGACTCACCATGAAAACTGCCCAAGAACCTCATGAGACTGAGCGACTGGGCAGTCACACAGCAGGATTCGAGACAGAATTACAATACAGAGTTGAAGGGCTCCTCAAGATGTTTTTGCTTGTGATGAGTGATTTTACTGCCACTTCCATCCCTTTTCCACCTGCAGCAAATGACAAACAAGAACATGATTTGCTGCTTCTTGACACTAGGGCCTGGGAGAGAAACAGCAAGGTACCCACACTATCACCTGTGCAGGGGCAAACAAAGCAGAGAAAAAACAGGGGGGGGGGGGACAGGGGACGACACACGACAACTGATGGATGCCGTCTGGCAAGACTGCAACCAGGGGCAAAACACTGAGTTTTCTGCACAGCTCCACCAACTGCATCTTCCTCAGCCAGAAGGGCAGAAACCACCAAAGAGCCACACTTCAGTAGCCCGCTGAGAGCAGAAGGTCCTTTGACAGCTACGTCCAGCACATCCTACCAGCTGCAACGCTCACCGAGCTGCATT